GGAGGAGGTAGGAATGCAGGGTGGATTGGGGGAAGAAGCCTGGGGGGCAGAGGAGGGAAGACAGGGGTATCTATGGTTGGTATGTAAAATGAAAAAAAAATCTCTTAATAAAAATATTTTTAAAAATGAAATTTCATTTATCATGAGTAAAGATTAATATAGAATTTTATAACTAGACTATGTAAAAAAAAGTGGCTTCGAAATGCTCACTCCTAAATATGACATTTAAATCACTCTCTCAAAGGCTCAGGAGAGATTAAAAAAGGGAGAGCAGCAGAAGAAATATAAGGACTAAACTGGAGAAGTGGCTCACTAGTTAAGAACATATACTGCTTTTGACAAGGACCTGAGTTCAGTTTCCAGAACCCCTGTCAGGTGGGGAAATTGCCTGTGATTCCAGAACCAGGGGATCCAGCACTCCCTTCCAGTCTTCATGGACACTTTAACTCATATACACACACACATACACATATTTAAATAAATATAAATTATGTTTCTTAAACAATGTAGGACATACAGGGAAGGTAGAGACTTATAAAAAGTTCACATCTGGGCATGTACAGGCCTATCCACTCTTAAAATTCCAGAAATTGTGATTAATGGCCCAAGACCATTCAAAGGAAAAGATCCATCAGCATTCCACCATGGAGAATGGAAGGGTTCATGTGGTTCCATCTCTCCCTTACTTCAGCAGTGTAGAGAGTGACAGGTCCTCTATGTTCCTGCAAATAACTTTCCAATGTATGTTCTCTTGTAATCAGCACTTACTAAATTCCCTGAATCACCAAATATTTGAAAGACATTAGAGTAGAAGGAAAAAGAATTTAAGAGAGGGAGAGGAACAGTAAGAGTGTGAGACAAGACTAGGTAATAGGATGTGAATAGAAGCAAAATACATATATATGTATATATATACACATAGATATGTATGTATTATATACCCATGTTAGCATGTATTCTATTGATTGCAATAATGTCATAATAACACTTGTAATACACACATATATGAAATAACAAAGACATAAAGATAAAAATTACTATCATTACTGATGTGCACCTACCCACATACTGATGCACACACACACACACACACACACACACATAATTTTAAAATTAAAACTTAATCTTCTAAAAATAAATAAATGATAGAAGATTCAACACAGTGTTGCTGTGTACTTTAAGCTCAGCACATAGGATAAAGAGGCAGGTAGATATCTATGAGGTGAACATCAGCCTGGACTAAATATTGAGTTCCACGACCGGCAGAGATACTTTTGAGGCAATGTTTGAGAACAAATCAGTAAGCCTTCATTATAAAAGTTCTAGAGAGAATAGGAATGAAAAAAAACATACATCAAATAAAATAAAAAATAAACATCAAAATCATTAATGCTCTATATTATAAACCCACAGCCAACATTATCCTCAATGGACTAAAACTCAAGTAATACCAATAAATTAAATTAAAATCAAGAATGAGACAGGGCTTTCTATTCTCCCTGATCTTTTTCAATAAAATCCTCAAAGTGCTAGCTAGAGCAGAACAGCAAGAAGAGAAAATTATAGAAAGAGAAAAAATCAAACAATCCTTATGCAGACTATATATATATATATATATATATATATATATATATATATATATATATATAATTCCACCAGAAAAAAAGTGTTGAAATGACGAACAATTTCAATAAAGATGCAGGAAAAAGTAAAGTCAGCTTACAAAAATCAGTAGCCTTTATGTACACCAGCAGGTTGAGAAGTATATTATGGACACATTGCCACTTACAATACCTTCATAGTATGTAATAGACCTTGAAATAAACCTAATAAAACAGGGGAAAGAGCCCTACAGTGAAAGCTTTAAATCTCAGAAGAAAGAGATTGAGACACTATAAGATGGAAATACATCCTTTGATTCTGGACTGGTAGAACTGGCATTGTGAAAATGATGATTCTACTGAAAGCAATTTACAAATTCAAGGCAACTCCAAGAAAATCACCACAACAAAAAATCCTAAAATCAATATGGAATCAGACAAGATTCTGGATAGCCACATAAATCCTTAATAATAAGAACAATGCAGGAATAATTATCACTCCAGATTTCAAAATATGTTCTACAGCAGTATTAATAAACATAGTATCTTGCTGGTGCAAAAACAAATATAAATATCAATGGAAGAAAACAAAAGACTCAAACATGAGTACACATGATTACAGCCACCTGATATCTGACAAAGATTCAAAAATACACACTGGAGAAAAGACAGAATCTTAAAAAATATGCTACGAAACAAAGAGATCCCCACATACAACAATGAACTAGACCCATATCTATCACTTTACAAAAACTAACTACAAATGGATCAAAGACCTCAGTGTAAAATCTGAAATGCTAGATATTCAAGAAAAATACTGAAGCAGCATCCTAAAAAATACAGGTGTAATAAAGGACTTCAAATATTGGACTCCATTTGTCTGGAAATTAGGGTAAAAATTGGCAAATATTGCCTCATAAAATTAAAAGTTTGTACAGAGAAGGAAGTTGTCAATTGAGTGAAGGTGAACACTACAAAATGAGAATCTCTACCAGCTATACATCTGATAAAGGCTTAATGTCTAAATCTATAAGGTACCCAAAAAAAAGACTCATAAAACAAGCAACTCATTTTAAAAAATGAGATATGAATGAAGGGCATAGTGTCTCACACATTTAATAGCAGCACTCCAGCAGCAGAGGAAGATGGATCTCTCTGATTTTAAGAACAGTCTGGTCTACATAGTGAGTTCTAGGACAATCAGGGCTATGTAGAGAGATTCTGTCTCAAAGGGGGGACCGGGTAATGGAGTTGAACAAAATCCTCACAAGAAGAAATAAAAATGTCTAAGAAATATAAACTGATTGTTCATTACCCATAGAAATTAGATAAATAAAAATTAGAACAACATTGATATTTCATCCTACTCATCTGAGAATGGCGAAAATCAAGAAAACCAACAACAACAAAATGCTGGTGAGGACATAGGAAAATGGAATCATAATTCACTGGTAGTGTGATTGCAAACTAGTGCAATCTGAAAATCATAGACAATTCGTCAAAAAACTAGAAATAAATTTACCACATAATGCAGCTATACCACTTCTTGTCACTTCTTCAAACAGACAACATCCTATTCCACAGATGTTTTGCAGACATGCTCATTGATGGTCTGTTCAAAATTATTAGGTAATGGAAACAACCTAAATATCCTTCAACTAATAGATAGTGAATAGTTAATGAAAAGGCAATATATATATATATATATACATATATATATATATATATATATATATACATACACAATAGAATATTATTTAGCTGTAAAGAAAATTGAAACCATGCAGTAAATGAGTGGAACCAGAAAATATTATATTGAGTGAGATAACCTACACCCACAAAAGAAAACACCCCATGTTATTTGATACATTTGGATCCTAGCCCTCAATTTCCAGATGTGTGTAAAAACCAGAGTGTTCACAGAAAGGAGGAAACTAAAATGGGAATATGGCAAGGGGGACCCAGAGAGAGAAATAGCAGGACACAGGTAATATGAAGGAGAAATGGGATTAATGGGAGGGACTTTTAACTAAAGAAGGAAGAAGGAAAATATAGAAGGAGGGGAAGAGGGAATGATGAATAACACTATGTATGGTTGAATGACACAGGGATTCAATATTTTATATTATCTAAATAGAATTGAGTTGGGAACAGGGAGAGATGAGCGGGAATAAACAAATAATATATTTGTATTTTAATGAAAAAATTATAAAAGTACCATTCTAAGCTGTTTATAAAAGGAGGTATATAAATGTGGATAAATTTTCTTAGCTCTGTCATCAGACCAAACTGAGTTTCAATGCAACCACTGACACTTACTAATAAAGCTTAAACACACTGCCTAATAAAATAAAAAATAAACTGCCTAGGAAAAACTGAAGGAGAAAGGAAAACACCAACTCTAACCTTATTATGATTACCAAGCTTCCTTAGGGACTATGGGGTGACAAGAGTATAAGGAGACAGAAACAGCCAGTCTTTGCCCTGAGACAGCAGAACTGCTAAAATGAACTACTGACTTCTGCTCTGTGACCCTGCTTGTCCATTACCTGTGACCAGGGTCACATCTGCTCTTCCCCCTTGAGAAGTGGCCATCATGAGTACTCACTTAGACAGCAAGTTTCGGTCTCTTAAACAATGGTTGTGAACCAATGAAAGAAGTATTTTGTTTATCTCTGAGTGCTAAGAATTTCTCCTTGGGAAAGGTTGAAGCCCCCACCTGAACAAAACAGCGTGAGGACTCATAGCATGCCTTGTATATTGTTGGCAAATTATGGTGAATCCATAAGAATTTCATAATAAAATGTTTGTTCATTTTGTGGTACTAGATACTGAACTCTGGTCCAGGATAATCTACCACTGGGCAATATCTCTAACCTCTCATAATACTTTTTTTGTTTGTTTTTGCTTTTTAAGATGGAGTTCCTCTGTGTAGCTCTAGCTGTCTTGGAACTTGATTTGTAGAACAAGTTAGGCTCAAACTCACAGGGATCCACACGCCTCTGCCTCCTTAATGCTGTGAGTAAAAGTATGCAGCAACACAGCCTGGCTAATTTTTTTTCTGAAAGATGCATGTGTTCATATACCTGGAGTACAACCTAGGCCCCCTGAGTGAAAACCAGGAATTCTAACTGCTAGACTATGTGGGAGAATAATAAAATTTTTAAATGAAGACTCACATTTTAATTTTTTTATTTTTGAGATTATAATGTAATTGCACGTTTCTCCCTTTCAAATACTTCCATATACACCTTTCTTCTCTTTTTCATATTCATACCTGGTTGTTGAAATAATTGTTATCAAATACATGTATGCAAATTTATGTACATACACATAACATATTCCTATATATAACATGTTTGATTTGTATAATCCTCACATATTTAAAAGAATACCTACCTGTCGATTTGTGAAGCTAGAATAAAATTCTTTCACTAGCACATTCTTGATCATATCTGGTTTTGTGATAATCAGCACAGGGACCAGCCCATTATATATCCTGTATTGGGAAAACAGAGATGATTACATTTTGATCCTGATATTACCTCTGGTTCTATAATATATGCTTCTGTGAACTGAACCTTGGTCTTCTGTAAGAACAGCAAGTGTTTATTCACTGCTACTCTACTGCCCCTAAGGACAAATTATTAACAACTGAAATCAATAATGTTTCAAGAAATTTTTCCTTGGGGCCATTAGAAATGCAGCACAGCATTCCCATGGCCTTGGGTCACAAGGCTACAGGAGCTCAACAGATCTTGTGATTATTACTGTGGTTTCTGGTGATGGATGAGAAGAGAGGAAGAGGCAGAACCTCTTTCCCATGGCTTGTGGCACATAGCATAGTGACGTCACTTCTTCTGAGACTCTAGACAAATTCCCAGTTAGCTCAACTATCACACAAAATAATTAATGAAACAAACTTAGAAGTCAACAGTATGGTATGACACAACCATCACCTTTTCTTCAAAGTGAGTAGTATGTGTTGAGAGGAAATAACCATATACAATTCTGCTAAAAAGTCAATGCCTTGTATAAAATGTAACAAGAATTGAAAAGTAAAAGGAAATTCAACAAAGTTTGGAATCACAGAACTCTAAGACCAGTAGTCAGGAGGCAGATATGGAAGACAGAGACTTCTAGGCCAATATGGACTCATAGCGACTTCCAGACCAACGTCAGATATATGGAAACCTGGACTCAAAAAAATAAACAACAGGGCAAGGCCCAGGATGACTCAAACCTATAGAAAGAAATACAGGTAGGTAAGGATTACTAAAAATGAGAGCAATGATCATCCCCAGGGAAGAGCACACAAACTGATTACCCAATTTCATATGATCAGCCCTGAAAGCATACATACAAAAAACACTATGCAGAATGAATAGGTCATACATACGAATATAAATGCACTTATGTATACATATAGTCATGTGTAGCATGAATCTTAAAAGTTCTTATTAATAAAATCAAACCTGAGGCCAGTTATTGGGGTGAATGCTGGAAGATCATAGAGACAGAACAGGCCACAGCTACTTCACCTCGCCAATTCCTCAGCTGATCCTGTTTCCTCAGACTGGAAGCTTCTGAGTCCTCATTCAAATGGATCTCAGCTGAACTGTGCTGCTCCAAAGCCTAAAAGCTTAACCAGCCAAATGCTTCTAGTTTCTGGTCCTCATGCCTTATATACCTTTCTGCTTTCTGCCATCACTCCCTGGGATTAAAGGCTCGCTTTCTAGGATTAAAGGCATGAGTCACCATGCTTGGCTTGAATACCTGGATTTCTGCCTCTGGAATGCTAGGATTAAAGGTGTCAGTGCCACCATTTTCTAGTCTTTATATCTCATGGCTGTTCTGTCTCTGACTCCAGATAAGTTTATTAGGGTGCACAATATTTTGGGGAACACAATACCACCACATTTAAACAATTAGTGAAATCCAGAGGATGTATTTGAAGGAGGAAGGGAAAGGAGAAAAGATGCAATTATATTATAACCTCAATCAAAAAATGAAGTAATAAAAATAAAAAACATACTTTATACACACATTAAATTAAACAAAAATAATAACTACAAATATGCTTATTTTCCCCTTAGCCTATATTTGAAAAGTTCACATTTACTGGAAATATCTTTTTTATAAAATTACTTTTGCTTTTATCTAAATGTAAATCAATATGGACTGGGTCATTCTTCTGAATTTATGAGCACATATTACATATATCTGAATTAATGCATATTTCACAATTTTTAAAAATCTCAAGGAAGAATAAATAGAGGCAGGAATCCTTATAAGACACTGGATTTAAGTAAGGCTAGGTGTATCTGTAACATCAAAGGATGGAGACAAATCATTACCTGCAATGTCCTCATCTTAATTCAGACTGTGGGCAACAACTTTTATATGGAACCCTAGGCAGGACAGGCTTTCAGATACTTTAAAACAGGCAACTGTGACCCAATTAACTATGGACTAAAAAGGTTCTCCAATTCAGTTTGGTGTCACATCATAACAAATGTATATATTGGACAATTGCAGAATACTCACCCCCATATATCTCCATACTTTTTATGGCATTCTATATCGTATTGTGATATGCCCTGGGAAAAGAAAAGAAAATGAAAAGTCATTATTTTTCTACCTGTATTGGCCACTAAATGGGAAACAAATGACTAAAACCCCAGGACATCAGGCTCATTATTTAATTTTCCTACCAAGCAATTAGAAGAAATCCTTCCACATTCTCTAAGAGAAAAAAGAAAATAAAGGAGACACTTGACACAGGGAATTTAGTTATTCATGATTTCATTTCTGTATATTGTACATTCCAAAATTGTACTTCTTTATTAAAAGTAGCAACTGTCTTTTTCTTTGGTAGCTCTTTGCTTTTGTTTTGACTCTGAAATCCTGAAACACTCTTGTCTTTTCCCATTCCTTGGGTGCCTGAGGGCACCAAGAGTCAGAGAGATTGCCATGACTGTGCAAAATCTATTTGCTTCTCACTGCTCACTGCCCCTTTCACTCACTTGATGACTTTTCCAGGATTCAGTATAGTCAGTAAGTTGAAGACAACATTGATATATATATATATATATATATATATATATATATATATATATATATATATATAGCATATTAGATTTATATAATTGTCTTTCATAATATTAAATGAAAAGGAACAAGGAAGTAGAGGCAAATGATTTTGCTTCTAGTGTCCCTGTTCATTATGGAAAGATGAGGATATGCTGCCTCACATAAAGAAAACATATGAGTTAATGTTTGGTTTGAACTTTCACTTTGGAACCTTAGGGAAAAAATCCATGTAATCAATAAGTGGCAATTGTATTTTTGGTGGATAGAATCCTAAAAACTCATCTTGGACCCAAAATCTCTTTGTATCTAAACTGACCTTGAAATGCTGATCCTTCTGAGTGTAGTAATTACAAGTGTGTGCCCCCATGTCCAGTTTTTATGATGCTGGGTTCAAGCCCAGGGATTTGTCCATTCTAGGCAAGCATTCTACAGAAGGGAATTCCATATTCAGCGACTATGAATGTCAACTATGCAAAACTATGTCTCCAGGCAGGAGCCTAGTGTGTAGAGCCTAGTATTTAGAGCCAGACTGATCCAAGGTATTCTCTGAGATCCTAATGAAATTACAAAGGGAACATTACTTCTGGGTCCCTGTCCATGAAATGAGTTGGCAAGAACCAATCTAGGGCTAGAGTCAGCTCCTCAAAAGAGTGAAGGTTGTAGTTTCTTAGAGATTTGAATTTCTCCTGGTCTGTGCTTCAGTCCTAAGCATCTGTGACTGAGGTATGGATACCTGTGTTCTTTTTGCCAGCCTTTTATGATTTAAGTGTGTGCTAGACTTGGCCATTTCCCTTTTACATATACCATGTAGGAAGCTTTCTGCTTAATACTCTTCTGATATAACTCATTATTTTAGGCAAGACCTCCTGGTGATAGCTACATGTCTTCTTTATTTGTCATACGTGGTCTCATCACCTTGACCACTGGGATCATTCCTTCCGGTTCATGTAATGTGGTGCTCTATGCAGGTACTGAGATTACTAGAAATCATCAAGAATGAGTACAAAAGAGTCAGACGTGGGGCCTGTAAGAAAGAAAGGGTGGAGGAATAGCTGAGAGTAACATAGGAGGAAAAGATTCTAAAGAACAATCTCTTTTTATTCATATGCTTCTAATTTGTCATGTATCACTATGGTACTTTGATAAATTCTTTACTTTCATTTAAAAATATACCCTTGGTTTACTGTATAAGGTTCTGTAAATTTAAAGACATGGGAACATGTAGGTGGAAGTTTAAAGACAGAATATCACATATGAGCCCCACATGCATTTCCTGTTTTGGGTTTGCACTGTCAAATTTTATACATGATTTGTTATATCTACAGCTTGAATATGATTCATTTGTAATTCAACACCCTTGTAGATGTAGCCAAAATATGCCAAAAGAAACTGGGTGACACAAGATAAAAATAACATGCCCAAAATAGAGATATAAGGCCCTGAGGACCAGGAGGTAGCTTAATTTCTTGAATTACTTTTACTTCATGATACCTCAGAGGATGAGAAGAAACTTCCTTTTTGCTGGTGAAGTTATAAAATTGCCTGAATGGGCTCCTACTTGTTTAACTGAGTCAAACCCCATCCTCCTCAGGACTCTCCTCATTTTCCTTTTAGACTTCCTTCCTCTAGTTTTCAGATACTTACAATGAAAGATAAATGAAGATGCTACTTCATAGTATGGCCAAGAGCCCCAACTTGTGTCAACAATTTATTGCTCAAATCTTACTCCCAGTTAGAAAAAAGTACCCTTCTCTCATGATTATTTATTACTTAGGGGATTTCAGTACCTCTTGAAAATCTAATTATTCAATTATTTCTCACCATCCACCATCACTTTGAACAGACTCAGCTGGAAATTTCCTTGGAGAAATCACAGATTATACCTCCCTTTTCTTATTTAGATCATATTACAGAGGACAGTATCATTTGCCCTCAAAGATTGGCAGGTAACTACTAACATTTATTGGTTTTCAAAAGATCTTAGGAAATATGAATTGGCTTAGACCTTCCCTGAAACATACTACAAAAGATTTGACTCTCTATTTTTTCATATTAAGAGGAGATAATGACCCCTCTTCTAGAAAGCTTATTCCTGAGGGTCAAACACATTATAATTGTTACACTGAATCATCACTCATGCAACAGTTGACAAGTATTGGCACAAAGCTTGTTCTATCTTCTATATTATTAGCTACTCCAGCATATCCTTCTGGCCAACTCTTGCAACCTAGGCTACCTATAGAATGGATTTTTCTGCATATTGCTGCTGGCTGTTCCTTGACTTCTTATTTTAAAATCCTTGCTTAGCTTATTTAGAAAACAGGTGTCCTCAAGCCCATCAATGTATTGCATGATAAATTGATTTGATAGTTCACCCCTTCACCTCTTCACAACTTGATTCACTTTGGGCCTTCACTGACTCTTGACAGGTAGCTCTCTTTGAACTTATTTGCCAGCTTGGTACTTTGTATCCTGCCGATCCTTTAATTCAAATTTTCCAATACTACTTTATAGGAGGTACACAATCCCAGAAACAGATAATGTGTTCCTAGATGAGAGACTTCTGCGGTGCCTAATGTTATACTTCAAGAAGTAACTCCTTATATATTGAATGTTTCAGCTAAGTCTTCTCAGAATATAGATTATTTTTGCATTCCCTCAACCTCTAAACACTTACTTTGACAGTTTATATTTCATGTAAGTTGTTTAAATACTTCCTGGTGCTCTTATTAAACAGACTGAGGATGAAGAAATGTTTCACTTGTTTCAGCATGCCCAAAAAGAGTTATAACCAGTAGGCTCCTTAATTTCTCCAATACTTTCCAGCTGTAGATCTAGCTTCCCATTATTCTATTCAGATGGTTGTTAAATCTGCTTTGTTTAAGCAAGTTATTGTCTCATGTAAATCACCATCATTACTGTGCTATGCCTAGTCCCAATTACAGTTATCTAGAAATCGAGTATGACAAATTGTCTCAGATTGTCCTGCTTATCTGCCTTCTCCTTGTAATGGTGTAAATCTCAAAGGCTTACTACCTTATGGCAGATGGATGTTGCTGGCATTTCAATTTTTGTCAGCCTAAAATATATTCATGTTAGTATGACATTTATTCTGGGGTCGTCCTCATGACTATCCTATTAACTGGAAAAGCTGGTAAGCACTGGATTACTCATTGCCAGTGAACATTTTCTATAGCTATGTGGTGATATTGTGTTCCCCCAAATATTGTGCATCCTAATAAACTTATCTGGGGTCAGAGAACAGAACAGCCACTAGATACAGAGGCCAGAAAATGGTGGCACTCACACCTTTAATCCCAGCATTCTGAAGGCAGAGATCCATCTGGATCTCTGTGAGTTTAAAGTCACACTGGAAACAGCCAGGCATGGTGACTCACACCTTTAATCCCAGGAAGTGAGCCTTTAATCCCAGGAAGTGATGGCAGAAAGCAGAAAGGTATATAAGGCATGAGGACCAAAAACTAGAGCTGGTTAAGCTTTTAGGCTTTGAGCAGCACAGTTCAGCTAAGATCCATTTGATTGAGGACTCAGAAGCTTCCAGTAAGGAAACAGGATCAGCTGAGGAATTGGCAAGTGGAGGTGGCTGTGGTTTTTTCTGCTTCTCTGATCTTCCAGCATTCACCCCAATACCGGGCTTCAAGTTTGATTTTATTAATAAGACCTGTTAAGATTCCTGCTACATAGCTGAACCTCCAAAAGTGCTTTAAAATAACAGTTGATGCTCCAGCACAGAATTCTGATGCCTTTAATAAATTTTGTGCTACATTATGTATTATACATAAAACCGGCCTCTCTTATATTCATTCACACATGGGTCTCCTATAGTTTTGCTTGAAAAAATTAAAATTGGGAGTATATATACCTTTTTACTTCTAAAAATCTTCTTAATAGTACTTTAATTTAATATGTTTTGAGAACATATTAAAGAGAGCAACAAGGATTAATTGGAGCCAGACGTTTTTGATTCGACATGCTCCAGAAGGAGAGATTTTGTGAAAAGTTCCTGCTATAGGGAAATGGTGTGATCCTGACCTTGTGCTCATGTAGAGGAGAGGATGTGTGTATTTTCCTACAGGAAACTGATGGATCACACTGGCTCCCAAAACACCTTGTCCCACATTCCCAGGCTATGAAGGCATCTGCTGTGTTACAGGTGACAGAAGCTAAGGATGCAGATGATGATGAGTTTGAAGGCAGCATGCAGTTCGGTACACCACTTGCAATCCACTTGGCAGGGTCCACTCCCAACTTGGGACAGATTAAATGTCTCACAGCAGAAGGAATTTCAGTGGTCAAGGAGACATGGAAGCCTGTGATTCACACTCTATTTATTTTAGCAATTCTGGCATTACTCTCTGCCACATGTGGAAAGTATAGAAGTCTACCTGGCCTGCATAGCTTACACTCCCTTTGGCTTGTCCAATCTGCCTACTAGAATATTTACTAATGATATGCTTGTTTATTTTACAATGCTGATGTTTCACATGTGGTGCCTAGTAGTACTCACTTTAACTATATTGGTATATCATAAATTATTCCTATTAGTTTGTCATTGATGGGACAGTATAACTATGTTCTTCTCATGTGAGTGACTGCTCAAGGGTCCACATGGAATGAAAGATCTGCATCAAAAAATCATTCATCCTTCTGATCTCCCATCAGTTACCCCATTGGATGGGCATATCCCAGAATTCAGTGATTTTCCTGTGCCCTGTTGCAGAATTAAATTCTCCTTGAGTGGCTTGCTCCATGATTCTAAAGTACTTCTTGCCTCTGAATAGATGATCTGAGGTGCTGGTTGTCTTGTCTTAGTGGTGCCCACCTGGTCTGGATGAGTATAAATCCTAAAATCCACTCATTGGCAACTTCCTGTTTATACTATCTTTAGAGGAAAAGGACATTAGGTTTTGAGCCACCATCCCGGATAATGGGGTGACATGTGATTTTTTGAGAAGATGACCAACCATGGCATATCATTTCATATTTGACCACACTTATTGTGTTAAAACTTCATATATGTAACTGACTCAGAGTCCCTCTATTAAATAAAGGGGAGGACACTTCTAAATTGCATGTGTTACTTGTATCCTCACTAGTTGTACAGATGCCTTTCTTCATGGAGCCTTCTTTTATTTTAACTGTCTTGCTTTGCTATGGTTCCTGTGCAACCTAATGATACTTAAATACAGTGACTTTGGACAACACATTCTCTTTGAACTATATCAGGATTTTACTAAAAATATATTTCTGGATTTTATTTTAACTATAATTTTTGCGGGACTTACAGCTCTCCAGTCAGAGGCTGCTTCCACAGTGGTCCTGGCCCAACAAGCGCAAACTGCGCATTTTGTTAAACAGATTACTTACAATACTTCTGTAGCTTAGATAAACATAGATAACAACTAGAAGCTAAGTTAAATGCTCTGAAAGTTTGTGTATTGAGCCTGGGAGATACAGTTAAAGCAATACAATTTTAATTATCTTTACAGTATCCTGCTGGATTTAGATACATTTGTTTTGCTCCTTTAAATTATGATAAATGTGAATGGAAATGGGAGAAAATTAAAAATCATTTTCATGTAATATGACAACATCAGAATGTTATTTTAGATTTTGTAACCCTCAAGCAAATAGTTACTGGCATGTGCCATGCTCATTACACATTCAATTCCCCTTTGGAGCCAGCCAAAGATTTATTACACAAATTGCCAGATGTAATCTCCTTAACACTGTTAAACATTTGTTCACTATTATCCTCAGATTACTTATGTTGATAATTCATCTTATAATATTAGGAGTCATTTTCTGGTTTAAAGCATATTTTAGGCTCTTAAATATTTAGACACAAATGACTCATCTGGCCCTAAAAAGAAAAAAGGCAGGGGGTTCCTTTTGAAACAGACTAACTCAAAGTTTTCTCCCACACCATTGTTAAAGAACAAAAGGCTTTACAGTTCTGTGACGTTCCAGAAACAGATTTGACAAGTTCCTCTCTGGGTCTGGGGTCAGGGCCTCTAAGAAGTGTTGGTTGTAGGCTATGTGGATCCTAATCATTTCCCTGGGTTGTGGTTATCAGTCATAAGGCAACTGTGTCTGAGGTATCCTAGGTTCTCTTTGCCAACATTGTCTGACTTAGCTCTCAGCTGACCTTGGCCATTTCCTCATGCAAATAGTAAGTAGGTAAGGATCTATGCTGATTAATAAACTTACTTGGTGTAAGTCATCAGGTATCTGTCTTTTTTATTTTTTTTCCCTTGGTCCTCCATCACAAAACCTCACCTTTTGTAACTCTTATTCTTGCAGCTTTGGGTCATCATAGTATAATCACACCCCTATTGGTACCTGGTCACCTATAAATAAGATATCATGGTATACCCAAGCACTGAGTAAGATTAATCTGTGGTCAAAATTCTGAACAGCAAATTTGAGACTAATTTTTTCTACAGGAGACACTATTTGAAAGAAACTAACAAACTAAAACCCAAGAAGTGTATTTCAAAGACTACATAAAAAGAGGTCATCCAAAAATGATAAGGAAGTTATTGCTTTTTCAACTGGGAGCAAAGCATGGTATTCTTAGGAACTTATGCAACAGAATCCTTGGTTTTGAAGAATTATGATCTAATAATTAAACCTTGAGAATTCAGAGAAGCAAATCTTGCAAGAGTGCAGTCTTCATGTAGGTACTGATTCTGGTCATGAACTCAGGAAGGATAGGCCAAGAGTCCAACCTTTAGAAAGCATTCAGAAGCCGGGCGGTGGTGGCGCACGCCTTTAGTCCCAGCACTCGGGAGGCAGAGGCAGGCGGATCTTTGTGAGTTCGAGGCCAGCCTGGTCTACAGAGTGAGATCCAGGAAAGGCACAAAGCTACACAGAGAAACCCTGTCTCGAAAAAAAAAAAAGCATTCAGAAAGGCCCTGTGTAAATTCACTGTCCCTATTATATAGGTACATGTATATGTATATTATGAAATTATAAATATATATACATATATGTATATATATTATATTCACACACTACATGTATATTTTTTACAGTTTTGTCAACTCAAGCTTTTATCAGTGATTTTGTATAAATAATTCTGCTTCTGTTTCAAGAAACAAAACTCACAGTCTGGTTAAATATCCAGGTTTATAGGCAACATCACCTAGTCTCCCATATTCCTGCTCTTCAGTCTCATGCATAGGGTTGTACCTTGAAGTGAAAAGGAGTAAAGGCAAATCTTCTTGTAAGTGGCAAAAGCTTGGCTAGAGCCTTGGAAGTAATAATGGAATTAAACAGTTCAATTGAGGATTCAAGTATGTGCATATTCCCCAAAAGTAACTATCTGCTTCCTGGTAGGCATGTTCCAGAGATACACAGCAAGGAGTGTAAATATTATTACTGAACTTGGATTTGAATAAATCACTCGGGTTGATGAGGTGCTACTCAGTGGCCTTACATGTATTTCTTTAAATACTAATTAAGAATAACTGTACTTTTCTGGAATCTGTACTAAAAAGGAAACGAAATCTTTGATGCTCTCAAAGTCTACACATCAGCATTTAACTTCAGGTCCTAGTGTGCTAACAGCCAGGGTCCTCACCTGCCCTGACACAAACCTGAAGTCATACCTCACCTGCCGCAAACCTGAGGTCACAAACACATGTTAGTCAAACCCAAGGGTAACCTGGCAATGATGTGGGTGTGACAAAAACAATTCTGCCAGCTGAAAGTCTTACAATTGATCCCAATGTCCGTTAGAATGGATCAAATGACATGGGGTTTAATATTTGTGTAAGTGACACTGTCACAGAAGCAAAGTAGGGAACCCAACAGCACTCACCATCTTATAGTTAAGCATCGTCCCAACAAAAGGCAGAGGTTTGGGGCCAGGAATCCCCAGCTTCTTAAAAAGTCCATGAGAAGAGGTTCCATACCTAAAACATGGAGGAGAAAGTCAGTCGGATCATGGGCTTGTTAACCATACATGTAAATATTCATAATCATACACACACATAAGTAAACACATTCCCACAATCTATATAAAATATACATATTTATACACTATATAAAAATATACACATATATACACTAACTCATGTATATTATTGACTCAATTTGTATTATATGAGTAGATATGCATGTATATGTGAGTATATATATGATATATGTAAGTGATATATATATATATACTTTTTCTTGGAGGCAAATATTGAGAATTACCAGAATTTATTCAGTGATGTAACAAGCGGGCAGAATATAACATAAAAATTCAGAGAACTAAACCCCTTCATATAGCATCTTACTACAAACTTTTAGGTTAACACTTGATGGTCCCAGTCTTAGAGCTAATATGTAATAAAACATTATAAACTTGAGTTTGAATGTTGCTGAAGGACTCACTAGACTTAGGAAGTCATCACACATTATCAGTGTGAGTAACCTGCAATGCAAGATCCACATGATCCATTCTCAACATTATGTAAGCAGTGGAGAGAGGTTACTCAGAGCGGGAGGACAGCCCACCAGCAGAGCCCCATGACAAGACAATCTACCTTTCCTGTCCCTCAGACTGAAAAGTGTGCAGAGCTTCCCAGGTGCAGTTTTTGGGCTGGGAAGATCACTCATCAGGTAAGAGCATTTTCTGCTCTTTCAGACTACCCAGGTTGGTTTCCTAGCCCCCACATGACAGCTAACAACAGCTTATAATTCCAGTCCCTGAGAATCCAATGACTTGTTTTAATTTACATGGACATCATGCATAAATGTGATACATATGTTCATGCAAAACATTCATAGGGGCAATATAAAAATCTATTTTTAAGCCGGGTGGTGGTGGCGCACGACTTTAGTCCCAGCACTCGGGAGGCAGAGGCAGGTGGATCTCTGTGAGTTCGAGGCCAGCCTGGTCTACAAAGTGAGTTCCAGGAAAGGTGCAAAACTACACAGAGAAACCCTGTCTCGAAAAATCAAAAAAAAAAAATCTATTTTTAAGATACCAATTTTGGGAGTCCTCAGTTCAGGTGTGGAGTTTTGATGCTGCATTTGCCTTTGAACCATTCATGCTCCTGTAAGTAACTTTTCAAACACATTGCTGTATTAACCTTATAAACTCATGTCTCTCCAGGGTAGACTTTGGAGGAATGGCTACATTCGTTTGACAGTTGTGCCCTACTGAGGTCAAAGGATATTTGCTCCCATCTTTCCCAGAAAATGCAAAGTACTCAATGAGTTATCCAAATGAACTCATGAGGCCATGAACTACAGAAAGCATAATCTCTCCATTCTGTTTCTTCCTAGACCCTAGATGGCACAAAGGCAGTTTTCTGTACTTAGATGATCAGCCACAGGCACTTAGTTTACTGTCAGTAATATAATAATTTCTCGACAATACTCTCTGGACAGACAGACCTGAATCTAAGTAACATCTCAGGTGTCATTTCCCTCATTGTGGGTTCAATATTCTACACACATTCCTATCCCAATGTGACAAACTAATGACAGAAAACAAACAAGAGAAACAGCAGACTGTAATCATTTTAAGCCCACTCCAGATTGTCTCTCAATGTTGGATTTTTTTTTTTTTTTTTTTGGTTTTTTCGAGACAGGGTTTCTCTGTGTAGCTTTGCGCCTTTCCTGGATCTCGCGCTGTAGACCAGGCTGGCCTCGAACTCACAGAGATCCACCTGCCTCTGCCTCCCGAGTGCTGGGATTAAAGGCGTGCGCCACCACCGCCCGGCTTCTCAATGTTGGATTTTTAACGTTACTTGAAGACACTTGGCTGAAAAGCACAGTGAATTAAATTATTTAGGTTACAGGAGAAATGTGTTCAGCTGTGGGAGTATGAATTTCCATTGGATTATACCTTTTGATTTTCTGACAGGGAAAAGGGGCCTGAGAATTATTCACCTCTGAGCCCACAAAAGAGAGATATCTAATCAATTACTCACAGGTAGAGGAGCACCAGGATGGTAGCCAGCAGTGCCCATGTTTCTGTGGAAAAGTTTGGAATCAGGTCCATTGCTCTTTTCCTTCAAGAAATCTCTCTTTTCCTGGTAGGTGAGGACCTGAATTCTCCTTCTGAGTTCAGGTGTGAATCTATGAAGACACTGTGCAGTATTTATGTGCTAGGAAAGGGGGTGGAGTAGTCACTAGTGCCAATAGAAAGATCAACATTGTATCTTCCATGGGTATGGAGAACATGAGTGACATCTTCAGTTGACAGTTCATAATAGTTCATGTTAACCCACATTTTGACTTCTTTTTAGTTCTTTTCCCTAGGAAATTAATAAATAACTAAACCAATGTTCTTGGTAAGACCAGAGGTCATAGATTTTTGTCAGAAATGCAACAGAGTGATCAACATTAAATGTCCTTTGATGTTTATGGGGCTGTCTATATTGCAAAACACATTGAATATTTGCACACCAGCTCCTTTTATAAATATTTACACATGCATATTTCTCTCTGTGGATCCCTGTTTTTACCCTAGAAGATGAATGATCACATTTAATAAAAAAATTGACAAAAAATAAATAAATCACATCATCCCAAGACAGACTAAATTTTCCCTTATATTTTCTTTATTGTCACTTTTTCAGTACTCATGGTTTCTGTATATACTTCCCTCATACTTTGTTATTTATTATTAATGAGCATTGCTCACTATTATTTTCCTACTCCCCATGTCAGTTAAATGTGTTAATAAACACCCATAGACGCCAAGACGTGTTAGTGTTACAAATCCAAGCTTTAATTCTTCACTTCTTGCTCTGGGCCTTCCCTCTCTCTGTAGCATGTGATGGTTTATTGGTCATCTGTACCTGTGAATCTGTGTATACCTACTGCTTCTTTTTGTGTCCCTAACAAAGGACATAGCTCTGTATTTATTGGACAGTACAGAAAGAATGGCATAGACAATGGATGAGGTATTTTTTACAGAAATCTTCAACAGAGTTTTATTGAGGGAGGAAATAATTTACTGACCCCAACAAACACTGAAACACTCAGAATACCAAAAAAGTATGGTAAGCATATACTACCATGCTGTATCTGTATGTTATTTGCAAAATTAATGGTGGGTATATATTTATAGAGTTGCTTCCAACCTATGGACTGCTTTCAGCAAATGATTACCACAACATACCCATGCATTACTCTGAGTCAGGGGCATGGAAGGATATATAATTTAAGATTAAAATTGGGCATTAGCTTAGGTTGTAAAAGCTCATTACATGGTCAATCAAAGATAGTGAAGTTGTTTGTGACATTGTTGTCTTAAAGGCAGATAAAACACAACAGAATATATAGTAGGGTATCAGCATACATCTTAAGTGATGTCAAGGTACATTATTAAATTAACTATCATGTCAAGAAAAAGTTCAATCTCTATGAAGGTAAGAGACCATACGACTGTAAAGTATCTAATATTGTCTCAATACATAGACCATATCAGAATGGACATCCAAATTGTTTGGTTGAGTTGAAGAGGCTGAGTAGTTCACAAATGTCTTCCTTATGGTTTACTAGAGGTTATGCTCTATGTGGATGACCTAATGGAGGGGCTCATGGACACTGCATGCACGCTTAGCCAATACCTGCTATATAAATATGTTTGACATCTATCACTCTATAGAGGTTGACACTGTCTCTTGTGACCTGAATAACAATCTTGATAAGAGAGTTCCCACAAGTGAATTTTTAAGAAACACAAAGGAGAGGTTGGAGAGATGACTCCATGGTTAAGAAGTCTCGGTGCTCTTGCAGAGGAGGCAGTTAGGTTCCCAGCACCTGGTGGCTATGTAGGTTTGAGTAGGAATGGTCCCCAAAAGCATCATATATTTGGATGTTTGGTCATTAGGAAGTGTGACTACTTGAGAGGGACTAGGAGGTGTGACCTTATTGGACATATTTGTCACAGAGTGTAGGCTTTGGTGTTCCAGAAGGTCAAGCCAGGGCCTGTGAATCTCTCTTCTTGATGTCTATAAATTAGGATGTAGAGCTTTCAGCTACCATGTCTGCTTGCATGCCTCCATGCTTCCCAGCATGATGATAATGAACTAAACCTCTGAAACTGTAAACAGTTACTGATGAAATGCTTTCCTTTGTAAGTATTGCCGTGGTTGTGGTGTCTCTTCACTGCACTAGTACATTGACTATGACACTGACTCACAACCATCTCTAACACCAGGTGCAGTAGGATCTGACCTCAACATGCACCAAGCAAAAAAGTGGTGCACACATATACACGTAGGCAAAATGAAATAAAAATAAATCTTGTTTAGAAAATAAAAAATAAGGTTATGCTTGTGAATACATTTCCTTTTTAACCTTTTGAACCGTCTTTTTTCCTTTTCACAGTTATCCACACACTACGTATTTTCTGTACCTGAACGAGTGAGGCATCTTCTAGTTTGGACTGTTGGAAAATAAGTGTGTACACACTCCTAATTTACCTCCAGTGAAACCATAATCTGTGGGATATAGAGCAACACAATCAGGGTTTTCATTAAGCCCAGAGATTACCATAAACCATTTACCAAATCGTCCCATTTTTTACCTACACACCTCTGATTATTGCAAGACACTGGTTATAGTAGAAGGATGTCTTCATGGTACAACATAGTCACTTCTTCATCTGCTTGTTTGCTTTCATCTTTCAATTCTTTTGTTGTTGTTATGTTGGTGGTGGTGATGGTGGTTTTGTTTTGTTTTTTGTTATTAACAGGTGATGAAAAATATCTAGATTCGTATTTTGTACATTAAAGTTTTTCCTCCAAGATTCATTAGATAAAATTCAAAGTATTCCCTAAAAAGTGCCATTAACCATGCATCTATGCATAGATTCAATACAAATGAAGTAATGTCATCTGGAGTCTCCTGTGTAGTGTGTAGATTGTCTTGCAGAGGTTCCTTGTTCAGGTTTTCCCTCACATGGGGTGAGAAACATGCAGACATGTTCATGCAGTCTTGTTCTGAGAACATACCTAATGCACTTGAGAAATAATCAGAAATATGAGAGAAAACTGGTGGCAGTGCACTTGTCTGCCACCAAAAAACAAATGAAAATCTTAGAAACAGTCTGTAAGAAGAGTAGGATTGGTAGCTCATGAAATCTTAATGCATGGCTGTGTTGTTTTATTGACTTTAACTTCTTAATCTGGTTATATGACTGTCTCTAGCATATAGGCAGAGAAACCGAAGCTCAGTGATTAAAATCTGCTCCCCAATGGCTATAGATCATAGGAGAACAAAACAGACTCTCACATATAAAGGTACCACAAAACAGGATGAAATATTTTATTACCCAAGTACATCAATATTCAACAGTTGACATTCTAAAGAGAGGATCATAATAAGAAATATGCAGATACAAGACTACATTTATCTCTTGAATTCTTCTATCTCCCATAGCTTCATCCTCAACAATTTCCTATAGATTATCTAGAATGTAGGACCTGCTGTGTGATACTAGTCTTGGGATGATGTGAACAAACATCTACTCACCCCAGACAGTGAAGCAATGACAGACCAAAGTAAGAATACCACAGACGTTCTACTTGATGAACCAATGAGATTCACTGGGGAAGAAAAGACTCAAAGATAGATACATTCTCAAAGCAAACCTCAACATTTGTGGTGGCTCACAAAAACTGGAAACCTGGAGTACAGAGCACAGATACCAGGCAGCTTGACAGGTTGGAATATCTATTCTAGGCAGCTCTTCTGGTCTGTGAGTCTCTCTCTGAAGTTCTTACTGCTTATATATGCTTGGGGAAGGAGGGGATCATTAAATTTTTCTGTTTCAGGGACTTCTTGAAGATTTTGAGTTGTTTGCTTCCTGAAATTAGCAGCTTCCTTGCAGAATGGAATGCTTTTACCTCCTCTTATAGTATTGGTTTTCAACCTTTCTAATGAGGTGACTATTACAGTTCTTCATGTTATGGTGAACCACAACCATACAATTATTTTTGTTGATACTTTATAACTGCAATTTTGGTATTCTTGTCAATCATAATGTAAATATATGATAAGCAAGATATCTGATGTGTGGCGCCCATGTAAAGGTTGTTAAACCATCAAAGAAGTTGTGACTCACACGTTAAGAACCATTGTCTTAGACCATCCTATGTCATAAAGCATTTAGTTACCTCATAACTATCATACCATTATTGTACCAGTAGGCACTCTTTGTCTGACAGGTTGGAATTGCAGCATGCAGACTCCAACACTGCATAACATCACTGATGTTTTTCTCCTGCAACAACCTACAGCACCTTCGGGCAGTATGAAAGCTATGTGAGAAATAGAAAGTTTTCTGACTTCTCTATGGAAATGGACTCATTTTTTTTTATTTGCAGAGGAAATTTCAATAGAGTATAGCAGTCAGGATTCAGTGTGGTTCATTCTAATTTCTCTTATCCAGGTCTACAGTGAAAGGGAAATAAATGAAGCAGTGATGAGGTGAGAATTTGTGTACACTAATAAAATTTGCCTGAAAATCAGAGAACAACAACAAACAAGAATTCATGAAAAAGCCACTTGCCTGTGGCCTTGCAGTCCCCTGCACAGGTCCCAGCTGCACACAGCCGGAGGCTCCAGCCCACCTGGGCTAGATTCCCTACTCTGCTGGCTAAGTTTCATTTGCAGGGTCTCTGCAGCAAACTCCGCAGGCCCAGGCTCCAAACATGCCAGAATTAGGTGCTTTCACACATTCCCCTCTACAAACAGCTGGCTCTCCTGTTTCTTCCCGTGGGCTTTCTCTGGCCCCCTCCTTCGGCTGCTGCCATACCATCATTTGAAACATCATTGTCAGCAGATTTGGTGTGTCAATTAAGATTTCTTAAAGTGAGGAATTAGTTAAAGGAAAGTTTTTCCCACATCAAAATTTGGCAACATTTTTACAATGGAGGAAGTTTTTTTTTCTCTGATTGATAATATATTTGACATTCTGAAAATAGAACAATTAAATGAGAGAATAATTAATGTTGATGAGATTTATGTAATGTCAATTATAAATAT